GAGAGAGAGAGAGAGAGAGAGAGAGAGAGAGAGAGAGAGAGAGAGAGAGAGAGAGAGAGAAGTGCATGTCAGTAGGTTTGCCAGGGACCTTCGTAGTCTGTGTGAGTGGGAGAGAGCGTAGTGTTTGTGCGTGTGAGAGAGATCGGTGTGTGTGTGTGTGTGTGTGTGTGAGAGAGAGAGAGAGAGAGAGAGAGAGAGAGAGAGAGAGAGAGACAGAGGCGCATGTCAGTAGGTTTGCCAGAGACCTCGTAGTTTTGTGGTTTTCTGGTCGTCAAGACGGACGAAGACGGTACGAAGACGGGTAGTTTACTCTCTTTTTTTTTTTTTTTTTTTTTTTTCGTACTCTACAAGAAGAACAGAGTGTAATGTAGTTGTAGTTGAGAAGGAGAAATGATGACTGGATAAAAGAATTAGCCGTAAAATTAAGAAACAAATAAAAAAATTACGGGGGTGAAAACGGAAGAAAAAAAGTTGCATGTGTTTCTATTTCTGAAAGTGCTCCCCCTTCCTCCCCCCCACTAACTTTTCTCCTGTTTTTCTTGTTTTGCCAGAAGTATTTGGTGTGTCAGATGTCTGATCATTTCGCTAAGCTCTCTCCCACGTGGTTATACGACACGCTCCGGATATTTGCCCAGTTTGTTTTTTTTAGTATATTTTATATATATATATATATGACGATATATATATATATATATATGGCGCTCATTCGTGCAGCAGCTGCTCAGTGGGAACTGTGGGATGGTGGGACGATGAGTCAGAGGCTATTGTCAACGTAAATGAAATTTTTGCGTGCATTGTGGAATCATACTCTATTGAAGTTTATTCTGGATTATTGACCGACTCTCGTATGACACCTGTCGGGACAGAGACGCGGTGCGCCTTGGCTGTGGAATGCATCATCTATGCCATGGGCATATGACCAATCTATTGCGACTGCCGCCGTCTGTCCTGAAGGGTGTCCAACATAATTTTTCCTCATTGTATACATCCCTATCACCCAGATATTCGTTGTCCCTTTTGTGCCCAAGGAGGCTATCAGAACTGCATGATGCCGCACTGTGATGAACGTCCTGCTGTTTTTCTTTTGACATGTGGATAACATCATGGTGTCCTTCCTTTGTCAGGACTGTTTTGATGGGATGGGATGGTTCGTGCTAGCCGTCCTGCTGAATGCTGTGCTGGCGCAGCTCTCCTTGGGTATCCTTGTGAACATCCACATCATCCTCACTGTAGCTGTCCTATCTGCCGACGTGGGGACAGATAAAGCTTTCGACACTACCGACAGATACGGAGTTGAAGGAAAAAAGAAAAAAATAAAACGAGAAAAAAAAAAAATGTTGATCTGTGGAATGTGTTATTTGCTTTGTGGCAATTGGATTATCTGTGGGATGTGTCATTTGCTTTGTTTGACTCGTAGGCTTTCTTTCCCTGTCAACTTTGGTTTCCTCTTTTTCTTTACCTCTTTTTTGCCTTTTGGCTGCGTGCGTGCAAGTGGGGGGTCCTTGTGACACACCCCCATTCGTGTGTGTGTGTGTGTATGCGTGCGTGCGTGCCAAGAGGTGTGGTGCCCCCACCCCAACAGATCAATCAATAGAAATATATTATTTGAGTGATTAATTGATTGACTGATTGATTGATTGATTGGATATTGATTGGCTGATTGATTGATTGATTGGATATTGATTGACTGATTGATTGATTGATTGATTGATTGATTGATTGATTGATTGGATGGCACGGGATGGAGGCGAAGGGACGACCTTGCCCCAATCGATCAATCAACCGATCAATCAATCAATCAATCAATCAATCAATAACTCAATGAATAATATTTGAATATATATGAAAAACCATGAAAACAAGGACAAAAATGAAAGAGGGGTTCCATTTATTTATTTTTCACTCCCCTATCTTCTTCTAAGAATGTTTTTTCTTTTTTTACTCGACAGATCAAAACGAAATTTTAGGGGTAGGGGTGCAAGGATGTAAGCTATTTACGAAAAAAAAGAAAGGAAATGGGGTTTGGCTGGGCCCCGAACCCCTCCCCGAACACCTGAGCGTTTGGGGGTCAGCCCGGGGGCCTCTGAACGTACGGACCAGTAACGGTGTTCCCAGTCATCTAGACTGTACCATTTCTTTCATTTTATTTTTTTCCTTTTTCTTTTTCTTTTTTCTTTTCTTTTCTTTTTTTTTGGAAAAAAGGGCGACGGCCGTGAGATAGATCATCAAACTGACCGGCCCTAGGTGATTCAAGATTTTAGTGATCGACCTTTTTTTTTTTTTTTTNTTTTTTAAGCAACCGGGGCCAGCATTAGCGGAGGGTGGTTAGGGAAGGAGAGTAGAAGGGACTACCGTCTTCCCCCGAACACAACGCACCGTCATTTTGTCTGTATCTGCCGGGAAATATAGCTTGTATACATTCATTTTTAGGGTGGCGTATGTTCGGGGGAAGACGGTAAGGAGAGTAGGCAGGAAATTGGGAAGCGACAGGACTTGGACTGAGGGCAGATCAAAGCAAAGCAGTTAAGGTAGGAAGCACTGACCTGTAGGATGTTAACAAATTGGCACTTTGTGGATGAGGATAAGCTAAACCGGCTGATGCTGCCGGGATAACTTCCGTGTGGAATTGTGAGGTCCCCGGCCTCAGATCATTGGTTGGCGAATAAAGATGACTGGTTTTAATTTAAAAAAAAAAACAAAAAAAACAATGCCAGGAATCGGGCCCGGTGAGTCCCTCGCAAAGAGATCGCGGTCCCGTTTGAGGGCGAGACATCATTTTGGTCAATACAAGAAAACAGGACCAAACACACACACACAAAAAAAAAAAGAAAAAAAAAGAAGGGCGACTATGCTCCTCTAACCCCATATCAGGGAAGGGAAGAGGTCTCAGGTGCGACTGCGGAGTGGTGTACGCAATATCCTTAGTCGTTTAAAATCATCGAGACCAAACCGAGGAGAAAAGCAAGGAAGAGAAAAGCTAATGACCAAACGATCCTCACACAGGCAAAAGCTACCAAGCAACTGCTAAAAGGTGCAGAGAGGGTAATCCTCTCAGATGAACAATTCAACCAAAAGCTGCGAATAACAGAGAAACACAGAAAAGGCAAACGAAGTTGGAGAACTGCCATTGAAGCATCCGTACTACAGATAGGTGGCATACCTTTCTCGGCCTTTTGGCTAAGATCAAATGTAGTATCTGTTCTGATCACTTTAATATCTGATCTGTGGTCCATCGGCCCACACGATATTAAAAAAAAAGCAAAAAAAAAAAGTACAGATAGGTTGTAAAAGACATCTATTCACAAACAGGACATCCACAGCCAAGAAGCACTTACACTGCTATTTGCAAAAAGAACAGCAGGGGCCGAGAAGTCCCAGCGATAAGGATACACAACCAGATCACATAGGGGGCACATCCCAACAGCAAGGATCACATAGGGGCATATCCCAACGGCAAGGATCAGATAGGGGCACATGCCGAAAGCAAGCGGCTGCCAAGTCCATCAACAACGTCCAGTGTTTTGGGCAAGCCGCAGCCAGTCGGGTCACCGAATCCTGCACCCAACCCGAAGCCATCCAGCGCGTGGCAAGTCTATCCAAAACATCCAAAAGCGTTCTCGAGATCTGATAGCCGAGACGAGTAAAGTACTGATAAAGAGGTATGTTTCGCAGGGTACTGATAAAGAGGCGCCTTTTGCAGAGTACTGCTAAAGAGGCACCCTTTGCCGGTTAGAAAGGTCAGGCTCCGAACCTGAGTCCCAGGGATCCACAGTCGATTGATGAGAAGGCACTGCAGTAGAACAAGGGAGCGGGGCCTCAGGGTAATCAAGCACACAGATCCGGACAAGCTCTGAAGAAGAGGGCACGGGAAGGCGTACCGCAGCAGGAACTTGAACAACAGGAGGTCCAAGGGAATAGGCGGAGGGGAAGACATTCAAACAAGGCGTTCCACAGCTCAACCGACGACGACAACATGGCCGGGATGTTCTGATCTGCCCGGATTATAGAATGCACGACTCCAACATATAGCAGATAAAGGTAGGGGGCCACCGGGCAGCCTTGTCGCACCGATCTCCCCAGGATCACCGGGGCAGACCGAATTCCGTTAACACAGTTTAGAAGTTGTGTGTATAAAGCACAGAGACTGTGTGCTCAAACCTAGGGCCAAAACCGAAGGTCGTGAGGGTTGCTTGCAGAAATTCCCATCCTACACGATCATAAGCTTTCTCCAGGTCCAGAAGCAAAACTGCAATGTGCTCTTCACCTGCAGCCTCGAGTTTCAACCACGTGTTTGACCGTCATTACATTGTATAGAATTTGCCTGTCCTTAAGAAAACCCGTTTGGGAAGCATGGATCAAACGCGATGCGACAAAACTGTTCGCAAGTGTAACCTTCGTAACGGAATAATTTTTGACAGGATCGTATACAATGTGGCATGAGTGTGATCGGACGCCAATTACGAGCGTCCGACCGGTACCCCTTTTCAAAGATGAATGCAGTGTTGCACACCCCGACCGTTGGCGACCCTCGACTG